GGCGTGAGCCACCTCGCGCGCTGCCAGACCCAATGGGCTCTGGATGGCAATAGTGGTAGCTTCCCTGCTGGGCTTCCGTGAGGGGTTAAATGAGATGCTACATGTCCAATGCCTAACGTCATGCCATGGCAGCCTCGAGCCATGGCTAATCGCGGCCCAGGATGTTAATATCCGTTACCTGGTCTTTTTACTGGACTATCATCCTGAGGAGAGCAACGGGGCTAGGCAAGGCTGGGAAGGACATCGGACGCACGGGTCCCGGCATCACTGACACTGGGGGAAAGCCCGACTACGCTTATGGCCTGTGTGCATCGCAGGAGGCCCCACCGCCGACCTGCACAGAACCTTCCTCTTAACGAACCCTACCCATCGATACAGAAAACACAAAAAAAAATACTAACCGCCACCCACCGCCGCCTTTCTGCCTTCAGCACTAACCTTGCCTCACCACACCATGCAGCTGCTCCCTGGGACTCTCGTGGCCAGTTCCTGCGTAGGATTCAGCTGGGAGATGGATGAGAATCACTTCCTATAAAAAAAAAAAAAGCATATAACATGAAAACCACACCAAAACCAACGGGGCAGGCCACGCATGGCACGGCACATACACAGGAAGGACCTCTGTGGGTTACTCTGCCTGCTCCCCAGAGAGGAGAAGGAGGCGCACTAGGCACGACAGCTCCTGACTGCGAAGCTGCAGCCAAATGCGCGAGATGCAAGAAACCCACATAGTATAGAGACGATAGCAGGAAAAGGAGATGATAGAGAGGAGACAGGGCAGGGCATGAGGAGGCAGGGCGGGCCTGGCATGGGCGCATACAGAAGCCAGCATGCAGGCAGCACCGCCCAAGGAAACAGCAATACACCAGGAAGACCACGGCGAAAGAACAAGAGACAAACGGCCCTCACTGACAAGGGCAGAGCCTGTTCAGGTGATGCGGCTCCGGGACACAAAGTATAAGTCTGCATTGTACGGTTGGCTGCATGCAACGCGGATGAGCCATATCTCCAAAATAGCTAAAAGGGCCCAGGCATAAAAGACAAAGTTTCCAGATTTATTTTTTTTTTTCTGAGACAGATCTCCTACTGTGGCCCAGACGCTAGATGAGTGCACGTGCGTCAGCACATCAAGCTCACAGCAACCTCCGATATCCTGGCTCAACGAATCCTCCTGTCATCTGCCTTTTCCCGAGTGGCGGGACTTGCAGGCTGCGCCACACAGAACACAAAAAACAAGAAACAACGCCGGAATCATAGAATCTTTCTATAATATTTATATAGTTACCAGATAATCTTTCTACTTATAGTGAGAGACGGGGATCTCGTCTTGCTCAGGCTGGTTCAAACTCTGACTCGAGCGATCCCTCCACAGCCTCGGCCTCCAGAGTGCCGGGATGACAAGGACGTGAGCCACCGTGCCGGCCAACATTTAGCGGTTAAAGCTGACAGTCCCGGTACCAGGTGGCTGTGCTGCAGGAGAAATCACATGAACAAAGCGCCTCGCCGGGTTTGTGATGCAAACACTGCCCATAAGCAAAGTCGGGTCACGTTACAACACAACATCCATATCTCATGAAGACCGAACAAAATAGCCACACAAAGTCCAGCGAGCCCCAGCCGGTGACAATCTCAGCGAAATGTGGCTCCCAGCCGCTGTGCTCATGTGCGCCAAGCCACTACCAAAAGCTCTAGATCAAGAGAATGCCATAGACAAGCAGAGAGGCCGGGGAGCACCTACCGCATCTCTGAGAAGAAAGTGAGAAGCCAAATCTAGAAACCTTATTACACATGCATACCCCAGGACCTGGTGACAGACAAGCGGCAACCGCAATGCCACAACACACGCTACCACGCACAGCCCGTAGGGAGCATCAGATAAATGGACCACATAGAGGCTAGCAGAAAAAGGGAAACAAACATCTATTTTATACAGATGCATCCTGAAGCCAGATCGAGATGGGCAGGGGACTAAAGAACAATCGCTACCCCAAATAAGATACCACAAACATGAAGGCATGTTTGGATCTCTGCGGTTATATTTATGAGAAGCCGACCGTCTCAACCTCTGCATTCGCCAACCAGGCAGAGTGCACACAGTGGCGTGCGTCAGCACACGCATTGCCGCACCTAAACCTCCTGGGCTCAAGCGACTCCTGCCAAATCAAGCTCCTCAACATGAAGTAGAGGCTGGACTACCAGGACATAAAAGCACACCGAAAAAAAGCCGACGCCGGCTTGATTTTTTCTATACTATATAGTTGCCATAAGTTTCTGTTCGTTTAGTAGCTAGAGACGGGGTCCTCGTCTTCGCTCAGCTGGTTCTTCGAACTCCTGACTGGAGCAATCCACCCCCCCAGGCCCCTCCCCAGCAGTGCTAGGATGACAGGTGTTCGCGCATCAGGGGTCATTTTTTTTACATAGAGGAGTCGCCCTGGTAGCTGTACTTTAGTACATAGACGTTTTTTTTTGTTCTTTTTTTTTTATTTAGAACGATAACAAGTCTGGCAACCAGAATTGACTTTTAATAATTTGTCCTCAGAAGCTGAGCAAGACCATGAACCATCTTGCCCTTCCTTGCTACAACCCACCCCCGAAAAGCAAAATAACATACAATACAATAAATAAACTAACCGCAGCAAAACAAACCAACAAACTACTTTGTCGAAAAAACAGTGGTTTTGTACATCGGGAAGTGTGACAATGACAAATTGCAAACTTACAGATAAGGGTTAGCCATACCACTCTTCTCTTTAAAACGTTCATATACTAATCTGCAGCTCAAAACCACAGGGTATACGCGCTTGAAATGTCCTCTGTACGGACTTCAGAAGTAGAACCCGGAATCCAAGTATAACTAGACATGGACAGTCCTCAAGAAGGCTCTGTGAATTCGATCACCAACAAAGAGTGAAAAAAAAACCCCAGGGTCGCTTGTCTTTCAATGGAAGAGGAGAAAGACCCTATCAGAGTTTCTTGACACTATTAAACCACGTTATCCACGTATTTTGCACGAAATGTAGTCGCATTGTCTTAACCCACAAAAGTTGTATTTTTGCCCGCCCAAGTGATGTGTTTCCTCCAGCTCAGAACTTGCACACAAGCTCGCCCAGAACCACGCTTGATGCTTACCTCAAGCAGTGACCGCAGGCCCTGGCGTTTCATGAAGCTTCCCCTAGCTGATAGGCGCGAAACTCACCATTTCGTCCTGAGTACCGCCCATCCTCTGGCGGAAGAAGCTCGGTTTGACGGACATGCCCACACTCAGCCGGCGGGACTACCCCCAGATTAACGCCCTCGGCCGGCCAGCGAGGACGTCAAGACGGACTGTCAGAGCGGGACACATCCGTCTGGAATTCGCAATAACAGCCCAGACAGCATCCACGCACACCTAACAAAATAGCGCGTTCCCGTAAGAATCGTGCAGACAGCAACAGCAAAGCCCCTTCCGCCGGCACCCCAACATGTGAGCTAAACGCAGGGAAGTGAGATGGCCCAGAGCGCAGGTGGGCCTCACCGCCTGTCCATCCAGCACTCTGGGAGGCCCCGAGCGAGAGGATCAGCTCGAAGGTCAGGAGTATTTCAAGACCCAGCCTGCGAGCCAAGAGCGAACTCGACGCCCCATCCTAGTAAACAGCAATAAAAGAACAACCACATAATCTGGCACCCTACACACAACCAAACTATGATATCAACCAAAACCAACGTACAGCCCGCCGGCCATACAAACAAGGTGGACCACGCACAGCCTCGTACGTCCCGCACGCTACTCGGGAGGAGCCTGGGCCAGAGGATCGACTTGAAGCCCAGGGAGTCTGAAGTTGCACCAGTGAGCTGACGGCTGACATGCCACGGCACTCACTCTAGCAAAGGGCAACAATGACGTCTCAAAAAGTTTGAGACAGAGAGTTTGAAGGCTTGCTACGTGACAGAGGCGTGCAGCGGCACTGGCGGCCGGGCAACAGCCAGAGCTGAGACGCACAACTGTCAGACAAAAAAACAATAATAAGAAACAAACGAGGGGTGAGTACCGGACTCCGAGGGCCGGCAGCCCCTCATTACACACAGTGAATTCGCCCCCCCACGACACACTGCTCTGACGCCACCCAGCGGCCTTGGGCGGGCACTTTAACTTCCAGAACATGCAGCCCGTGACCCAAGATTGCAAGCGCCGGGTGTGAGGCGGCCAGCACCCCGGGTGCTGTGTGTCCTTTTTTTTTTTTGAGACAGAGTCTCCACTTTGTTCGCCCTGGGGCTACGCGTGAGGTGTACAGCCAACTAACAGCACACCTCAATCTCCTGGGCTCCCAGCGGATCCTCACTG